TTCTAGAATAATAGCTATTATTATTATTCAAACTATCCACCGTCGATCATACGTTGGAAGTAAGTATGAAAAAAGATTGTCATGAGTTGGCTTGTAGGTTTTCTAAGGAGTTAGACATAGCAAAAGTTTGCTACACCATTCATGATTGCTCCTAAAATAGGATTTGAGTATTGGATTCAACCCGCGCTCACTTGAATTACTTAATGAAATTTATCACGAGTAATTATGAGACGATAATGTCATATAATCTTCAAACCAAGATATATGAGTTGTTGACTATGAGTTGGTTGTGCATTGATGGCATGAAAACGCATCAGTAACTTGATGTTATAAAACGTGTCGTTGTGCATGATTTGATGAGTAGTTACTACAAGCATATAATGTCGAAGTTTATATGTTCCTTTTATCCTAAGAGGATTAAAAGCGATAGCTTGGGCCCCCTCGATGATTCTGTTATGTGTCGGGCCCGGTCAGAACTAAATTGATGTGTTCAGTTAAGTTCTATGTCAGACGAATCGGAAATCGGGAAACAAATTGCAGGACAATAAGTATGACTATGTTCCATGTATTTGTCCGCATAGATATCTTGAGAATAGAGCAGTATATGATCCCTTATCTGAAGGACGCGTCACTGACTAGGTCAGAGTTTGACAACGTCTTTTGAAAGCTTACGATTGCTAAGTTGGATCCGGAAGTCACATTGGAAAATATAGTTATTAGACTTATCCAAGTGGGAGACTGTTGAATTTGGTGTCTAAGCACATAACTATAACTGGGATGTACTTGACCCGATTGTAGCATGGTCCTTTTGGGTTGCCTTCACCAATGCAATTTGATAGGATGGACTTTAGAGAATAAGGTTATTTATGGTTTATTAATATATTACAAGTATAATATATTAAATATTTAATTAGTATTGATCAATAATTAATTTGGAATTAATTTTGTGGTCAAAAGAGATTAATTAAATATATGAGGATTGATTATGTAAATCAATGATTCTTGTAGTGTGGGCCAATGATCAATGATTATTTATATGGGCTAATCCAATGAGATAATCCATGGATTGTCCATGGAGGTTAAATCCATGGAGCATGAGAATGTGGAAAGTTATGGGTCATTAGGGTTTACAAAGTGTAACCCTAGCATGTGCAACACTATAAATAGAACCCTCATGAACCAAAATCGGTTGCACCTTCTTTTTGAGCTAAGTAACTTATTCTCTTAAGCCACCTTTTTCATATTGGTGTTTGTGAACCATTAGAGGCATCACACTTGGGGTGCTCAAGCTTTCAAAGGTCAAGAACTACTAGTCCTTCTAAAAGGTATGTCATCTAATTAGATGTATTATTCATTTGACAATTTGTATGCCAGTTAGAACAATGCTTTGGAAAATTGAACATATGCATGTATACTTAGAGAAAACATAGATCCAAAGCATTTAGGGTTGCATGTGCACCATAGGAGTGTTATAGTTCTCCAAACCCAACAAAGTCTTGGCTTAGAAAGTGTTTTCCCATGAAAGACCTTGGAGAAACAACCTATATTCCCGGGATAAGAATATTGAGAGATAAGACTAATTAGACTTTGTCAAAGTAAATACTTGGATAAGGTACTAAAGCGTTTTAGTATGGAAAGTTCCAAGAATGGAGAGCTACCTATCCAGAGCAATACCAAATTGATTAAGACTCAAATCCCTAGTACAAATGAAGAGATAGTTGATATGAGTTGGATACCTTATGGTTCGGCTGTAGGGTCGATCATGTACGCTATGACATGTTCCCGCCCTGATGTGTCCTTTGCTTTGAGCATGGTCAGTCGCTATCCGGGAAATCCCGGTAAATCTCATTGGACAGTGGTTAAGAACATTCTCAAGTATTTACGGAGGACGAATGACATGCTTCTAGTCCTCGGTAACAGTGATATGTTGAGAGTGAGTGGGTAGAGTGACGCCAACTTTCAGACATATAGAGACAACTTCGATTTCTACGGAATTTGTATTTATGGGATCCGGAAGACGCGTACTTTCAAAAGTATGACTGCAATACAAGGATTAGTCCGCATAACGATAGTAGGAAGATATTGATACTAACATGATATGAAAGCCCTTAATTTATGGCCTATTCGCACATTTTGTACCCCTCTTTCTTTTTTCTAACAAATGTCATTAATTTTTTGTGATTTTGAAAAACTAACCAATTATAACATTGTATTTCCAATCTTTTTAAAAAAAAATACTCAAGTATAGCATTCCACTTTCTGTTGGACATGGAACAAATGAACGGTGTATGAATCCTAAAAAATCCAATTATAACATATTTGCATGTATTTTATGTAAGGTATCCCAATATAGCCTTGCACTTTTAGTTTTCTTGAAAACCGACCCAATTATAACAGTGCACTTTCTGTTGGACCTTGAATGAAGGGTCGTTGTAGGAATTCACTCATTTTTTCTTAAATGGGATTAGGTGGTTGTTGAAATCAAGGGGCAAGAAGTCATAGTTCATGACCGAATAATGACAATTTCTCTTGGGGCGGTAACAAAGAATGAAATAATTCTGTTAGACAAGCTTTTTGTGTTTATGCTAATTGAGTTTAAATAATTTATCATGATTTGCTTACGATTGTGTTCCATTATAGGACAAGGTGGCACTGTTTTCTACTTATTGTTTATGTTAATTGGTTCTCAATTTTGTACGGTGTACGCTATAATTGGGTAGATTTTTAAAAAATACAATGCCTTAATAGGTACAAAACTGATAGTACATTGTAATTGTACCTACTTTCATTTCTTCATACTACAACATTCTGTTTTGAAAAACCTACCTAATTGTAGCATTATTTTGCTTAAACTCCCACCACAAGGCGCAGGCTTAAACTCCCACCCAAATGCTATATCACAGTTTTATTTGCTTAAACTCCCACCACAAGGCGCAGGCTTAAAACCTCGTTAAAAATACTGGTCATGAAGGGACGTCACCGCTATCCATTATGGTAATACCGAGATTTATATTTCAAAGGAAATGCTTTATTATTAATACTGTATTTTTTTGGTTATTTTCTTGTTGCCATGTGTGTGAATAGAAGGAATATGGTTACATGAAAAATCTCTAAAAGAACCACTTATATTGTTTATAAATACAAATTCAATTTGGCTACTAAAACTTTTGTTGACTGACAGTTATTACATAATATAATGACATTAATTTTTGATGCAAAGCTTACGTAAGACTTTTCAGAAATATTTAATACTATGAGATGAGATAATAAAAACGAGATCAAATCACAGACATGTTAAAAACAGAGATAACTTTTGATACGTCAACGAGGCCCGCTTTATATTGCCAAGAAGCTTTCTTCAGGCTGGAGCCCTAACAAAATTGCCAAGGCGCGGTTTGCCCACCTTTCGTCTTGAAAAACATCCATTTAGCTTCAATTTAAGTTTCCTCCAAATTTCACCATATTTTGTTTTATTCCAACAAAATCTTTGTTTTCTTTAATATCTTTATTTTTCCTAATTTATTTATCAGTTTAATTAGAGGAATATGATGAGAGTTTTGATTTTCCTAAAGCAATAATTGACTAATTTAACCACCTTTATATAGAAGGATTTTATAAGGATTTATAAGATCATGAAATCATTATATAATACTATTATTGAATGGAAATCAATAAACATATACAAGGCACATGGGGCGATTACAAAAGGGCTAACTATCGGCTAATATACACTGAAATACAATATATAGTAACAAATACAAATTCATTTGAACACTTTTTGTTCGTGCTTTAACTAAAATTTCTAGCCTTATAACTGTTTTAATTATCAGCCACAACAATTATAAACCTCAACGGAGGGAAAACACGATGTCATTACATATTTCTCTTTTTTCATTGGTAAAATTCTCCAATAGTTTCCTATAAATAACATTATCTAGAACGACCCTACAATATTGAAGTCAACTATCGTGCAAATGTGCAATCCACAATATTTTATCTAACATATTCAGCTTGAGAAACAATAAAGTCAAATCACGCAATTACAAAGCAAACTTTCTGGACTCCAACATTTGTAGTTGCAACTTTTGATTTTCTTCACAACATATTATTAACCTATTCCTATGGAAGATACCCACGACCAAACTTTGCAAACACAACCATGTCGCCAGTTTTCCCTTACAGAGATTCAGATAGCCACCCATCGATTTGATGAGGAATCCGTCGTAGGTCAAGGTGGATATGGGAAGGTTTATAAAGGTTCCATCAAGATCGGAGAAACATATGTCCTTGTAGCCATGAAACGGTTGCATTCCAATTCAAATCAAGGGGCCTTGGAATTCTGGGCTGAAGTTGAGATGCTTTCTAAATTGAGGCACTGTAACTTAGCTTCTTTGATTGGTTATTGTAAAGATGCAAACGAGATGATTCTTGTCTACGAGTATATGCCCAAGGGAACACTTGAAGGTTGTCTTCGTAAAGGTGCCACTCCTCTTTCATGGTTTTTGCGTCTCAATATATGTATAGGTGCAGCTCGTGGATTAGATTACCTCCACACAGGCACTGGAACTAAACTAGCAGTCATACATCGTGATGTGAAGACATCCAATATCTTGTTAGATGACAATTACGCTGCAAAAATCGCAGATTTTGGGTTGGCAAAAGTGGGCCCCACCAATACTTCTGTTACCACAGGAGTCAAAGGGACATTCGGGTATCTAGATCCAACTTATTTCCTTACGAAAAAACTAACAAGTAAATCTGATGTTTATGCTTTTGGTGTTGTACTGTTAGAGGTGTTATGTGGGAGGCCTGCTGTGGACACAACTCTTAAAGAAGAGCAATGGGGTCTAGCAAAATGGGCTCAAGATCGTATTACAAAAGGAAAATTGTCCAAGATTATTGATTCTAGATTGAGGAGGCGAATATCGAGTAAATGTTTGAAGGAGTTTGCAAACATTGCAGTTAGATGCTTGCATACTGATGCAAATAAACGGCCAACAATGGCTGAAGTTGTAGCAAAGCTTGAGTTGGCGTTGTCTCTACAAAAAAAGGTGGATCCTTCTGCTGCAAAAGGTAAAGTGCGCATGAAAGCATTGTCTTTCTTAAAAGCTGATGTTCCGAAATTGATCAATTCAATATCTTCTTATTTGGCAATAAGTAAACCTGTTGTGTTAGCGTCTTCGATAGTTGATGCAGACTATGAATCTGGTGGACAAATGGTTCATTTCGATGGTGGGTTTGAGTTAAGTCTAATCGAGTTGCTTACTGCATCTGCCAAGATTCTAAATGAAAAACCTTACTGTAGAACATATGTAGCATATCTTTCAGATGGTTCTCAAGTTGTTGTTAAACGCATACTGACTCAATTAAGCCAAAATAATTTTGCTACTGCTGTTTCTGCCCTTGGCAAGATTCGCCACATGAACGTATTGGATGTTAAGGCCTATTACTGGGGTAGAGGAGAGACATTATGTGTCTTTAAATTTATGATTAATGGGAGTGTTGCGTCTCTCTTACAATGTAAGTTGATACATAAATATTTCTAATATTCGCTGAAAATCAATAACATGGGTTTTTTATTAGTTAACTTTTCTATCTGCAGCTTCCCGGAATAAGCGTGGATCTATAATTCCATTTGAGTGGACACAGCGGATAAATATAATTATAGGAATCACAAGAGGCCTCTTCTACCTTCACACCCAAGAGAAAATAATTCATGGAGACCTTAAGTTGAGTATGATATTACTCGATGAGGAGTATAATCCCGTGATTGCTAATGTTGGTCTCTCACAGCTTTTGCCAGCCACAAGACAAAGGGTTCGAAAAAATTGTGCACCCGAGTTCAGTGGATTAGTGAATGCCACAACAGAGGTTGACATATATAGCCTTGGAATTATAATGTTACAGCTTTTGTGTAGAGAGTCTGCTAAGAGAAGAAAACGTTCAGTTGATTTGCCGACCTGGGTGAGGTCAGTACCAAAAGAAAATTGGTCTGCTAAAGTGTTTGACGTGAAACTCATTCAGGAAACATCCTTCAATGGCAATTCATTGATCAAGATAATGGAACTAGCTCTCCACTGTGTTGAGTATGACCCTAAGGCCAGGCCTACAGCTAGTGATGTCCTTCGGGCAATGGAACAGATTGAGGTGTAGATGATGATCTTGCTAGCCATGGTGGCAAAAGATAACTACAAGTAGGCACATGTGGATATTTGTTTCCAATTGTACTCCTAGGTTAGCAAGATTGTATTATATTACTGTACCTACCTAATATATGGAAGAATACCGATCATAAAGTTTTTAATGAAGAAAATAATGACCAATCCCATGTGAACTATGTAGTTCTACATCTCTTGTAACACATTCCTATAGTTGTAACCGTTTTATACCACATGGTTGTTAATTGACGATGGGCGCAGGAAGAACGACGATAGTAGGAGCTGACGGACCAAGGTGCGGACCCGGAAGACAGATCCATGTTACAAGCCCGGACCCAGTTCGCATGACCTATCTGGGCCCAACTAGATGATTGTGTCTTGCTTTGCTTTGTATTACATGGAGGAGGATACTTGTAAGACATAGACCAGACTTTGCTTGGCATGCTTACTTTGCACACTACCGGCACCGAGATTTATTATCAAAATGATAGGTAGATTCCTAAACAAACATTAGATATATATATATATATATCTATATATATATATATATATATATATATATATATATATATATATATAAAAGGTAGGTTCAATAGGAACCATACTTCACCAATGAACCAAGAACCAATCGTAAGCGTCGGAAATCATAAACGATCAACGGCCAAGGAAATAGATGTACCTTTTACATTGGATGCCCGCACACCGGATTATACCAAAAAATCCACCCTTTAAAAAAAACTCACCACTTTTTTTCGTTTAAAATTTTTTTTAGGCTATGTTTTTTATCGAAAAAAAAACCGAATATACCGTTGTTCACGATTTTTGGTCATATTTCCATAAAGATCCATGATGATATATATAAAAAACGAACTTTTTTTTTTCGAAAAAAACGTACTTCCTTTTCTTTGATAAAAAAGTTAAGGTCTATGTTTTTATAAAAAAAAAATTAAAATATATCAAAATTCATATTTTTTGTACTTTTTAAACATAGATTCATATTTCATGTTAAAAAAACAAACGGTTATTTCAGTTCAGCTTCACATGTGAACCTGTCAGATTCATATTGTAAACCTGTTTCAGATTCACATTGTGAACCTCATCAGATTTCACAGTGTGCATATAATAAGTCAGATTCACAGTGTGCATAATAATAAGTCAGATTCACAGTGTGAATCTGAACTGATCGGAGCTTTTTCACATTGTGAATGTTAAAATTGAAAATATTTACAGTTTAGATCACCAGTGTGAATCTCACACTGATCGTGGTTTTTTTTTTTTCTGAACATTCTCAGATTCACAGTGTGCATAATAGTAATTCAGATTCACAATGTGAATCTGAACT